CATGTCAACATCTGAGATTGTTGGATAATTTTAAATTATAAATTTCAAAATTTATGCACTTACAGCAGTATTTTGGGACCCTAAACAGTTTCAATTCAAAAACTTTTCAACTACAAAGTTATAGATCCTGTCGAGGGCTACAATTTTGATATAAAGTTTGTCTTCATCCAAACTCGTTTGGACCTGTTTGGACCTGGATGACACCCAAAGCCAAGTTCATGAACCCAAAATTAGCATTTTGAAAGTAGAGGGACCTAGATGGCACCTTATGCCAAGTTGAAGGACCGCCTGTACATTTTCCTCAAATAGCCAAGCAACGTGCACAGCAAAGGCGATGCTGCATGAGGTGGGGCCCCAACACCCGTGACGTGTCGAGCAAGCGCGCAGCCGGCCAGGAGTCTGAGCAGTAATTCCTTTATGTCATTTCTCATCGACTATCTTCATTTAGAGGGAGTGAGAGAGGAGGCAGGTCAACTCAATTTTTAGTAGTGGCAACATCGGCTATGATAGTATGATTTTGTTTTGAGTGCGTACGTGCACGGAATTGTCTATCCACCACACCTTCGATTGTGGGAGATGACATCGTCATAGTGCCAGGCCTACATGCACCTTGGTGTTCCAAGCAGAGGACATGGATAAAGAGATGTAGTAGACAGACTCCCTGATGACTATGGTGTTGGGAAGATGATGGGATCCCGATCGATTATTCGGAGGTCGGCGACGACGAAGTGTCCCCTCCGGTTGGGGTTGGTGATGACGCCAACCTTGTTCACATCGTCGAAGAAGCCATCGGGACCTCCCTGATCTCCGTCGTCCTCCGCTGGCTCCGCTTGACATTGGCAAAGTTGTGGACCACGTATCTAGGTCTCATGTGGCGTGGTATGGACCTAACGTACGGCGGGTAGCGGATGAGCCAGAGAGTCGGGGCGACAGCGTCGATGCTGGTGTCGGCTAGCCGTCTGCTTTTGCGCCGGGCTCCTGCTCGAGGATACAAAAAATTCTTTTATGTGTTATAATATTTACCATACCAATAAACAAAATAACTAAGTGAATAACTAATCCTGACTAGACTGACAAAAGAACAACAATCGACCTAAATGAAATCAGAAGCCATGCAAAGGGTTAATGGTGAAGTCCAATTGATCTTTATGTGTTATAATATGTACCATACTGAAAGGTCCTAATATGGCTAGAGGGGGGTGAATAGCCTATTTAAAAATCTACAAATCAACTAGAGCAATTTGATTAGTATGACAAATAGCGAAATGCAAACTTGCTCTAGCTCTACAAGGGTTGCAAGCCACCTATCCAACAATTCTAGTTGCAATGATTACTAGGCACACAACTTGCAATGATACTACTCACTAAGAGCTCTCAAAAATGCTACTCTAAAGAGCTCCACTGGATGAACTTAAACTAACAAAGCAAGCTCTCAATTCTAATTACACTAAAGAGCTTGTCACAACTAGTTTGCAATACTATAAATAAGTGAGTAGGGTGATTATACCGTCGTATAGAGGAGTGAACCAATCACAATATGAATACTAAATCAATCACCGGGAGAATTCCAAAGGGCAAGAGACAACCAATTTTTCTCCCGAGGTTCACGTGCTTGTCGGCACGCTAGTCCCCGTTGTGTCGACCAATACTTGGTGGTTCGGCGGCTAAGAGGTGTTGCACGAACCTTGTCCACACAATAGGACACCGCAAGAACCTACCCACAAGTGAGGTAACTCAATGACACGAGCAATCCACTAGAGTTACCTTTCGACGCTCTGCCGGGGAAGGCACAAGACCCCTCACAATCACCACGATCGGAGCCGAAGACAATCACCAACCTCCGCTCAACAATCCTCGCTGCTCCAAGCCATCTAGGTGGCGGCAACCACCAAGAGTAACAAGTGAATCTCGCAGCGAAACACGAATGCCAAGTGCCTCTAGATGCAATCACTCAAGCAATGCACTTAGATTCTCTCCCAATCTCACAATGATGATGGATCAATGATGGAGATGAGTGGGAGGGCTTTGGCTAAGCTCACAAGGTTGTTATGTCAATGCAAAATGGCCAAGAGAGTGAGCTTGAGCCAGCCATGGGGCTTAAATAGAAGCCCCCACGAAATAGAGCCGTTGTACCCCTTCACTGGATGCAACACGGGGTGACCAGATGCTCCGGTCCGATCGACCGGACGCAGGCCCTCAGCGTCCGATCACGTGATACACGCCACATGTCCCCTGCTTCAAATGTTGTTCGTCAGATTTCAACGGTCATCTCTTGACCGGACGCGTCAGTTAGAAAGTGAACGGACGCTGGAGCTCAGCGTCCGGTCGTTTCCAGTAAGGTTCCAAACGCGAATTTCCACGACCGGACTCACCCAGCGTCCGGTCACTCAACATCCCCTCTGTATGCCTTACGTCAGCGTACGTTAGCACTGACCGGACGCACCCTGCCAGCGTCCGGTCGCAGAGCAACCCAGCGTCCGGTCGTTTGACCGACGCCAGCGTCTTCGTCGTTACACCTGACCGAACGCACCGGTACAACCGAGGCCAGCGTCCGGTCACTTCCAGTGACCTCCGTCTTTTCTGTCTAGGGCACCGGTGGCACCGTCGGACTGTCCACACTCTACGGACGGACACCCCGCCGGTGGAGTTTCTTACCCTTGCACCCAAACTTCACTACCCTTGATCAAATGTGCCAACCACCAAGTGTATCACCTTGTGCACATGTGTTAGCATATTTTCACAAACATTTTCAAGGGTGTTAGCATTCCACTAGATCCTAAATGCATATGCAATGAGTTAGAGCATCTAGTGGCACTTTGATAACCGCATTTCGATACGAGTTTCACCCCTCTTAATAGTACGGCTATCGATCCTAAATGTGATCACACTCGCTAAGTGTCTCGATCATTAAAACAAAATAGCTCCTACAATTTATACCTTTGCCTTGAGCCTTTTGTTTTTCTCTTTCTTTTTTTCCAAGTTTAAGCATTTGATCATCACCATGCCATCACGGTCGTCATGATCTTCGCCATTGTTTCATCACTTGAAGTAGTGCTACCTATCTTATAATCACTTTGATAAACTAGGTTAGCACTTAGGGTTTCATCAATTAACCAAAATTAAACTAGAGCTTTCACGTACTAATTGTAAACCTTAAATAGTTAAAGGCCTGGCGACTTACCATCGAGTGACGAGGAGATGAGAATGGAGGATGATCAGGTGAACTACCAGTAAACCTTAAATAGTTAAAGGCCTGGCGACTTACCATCGAGTGACGAGGAGATGAGAATGGAGGATGATCAGGTGAACTACCAAAGCCGACAACAAAACTGGTCGGCGACTGCAAAAGGCATCACACGATGCGTCGATGTTGTGATTTCATATTCGCCGAGCATGAGACTGACTCAAGCAGCAGTCACGCATGATGTGTTCTTTTCCATCTGGGAGGCTATAATGTGTGTAAAAATGAACTATCAAATCGTCTTGAATATATAAGCTCATGTGCCCCCATCTGTCATGTGCCCTAGGTAGTTGCCCCTCTCACATAGGGCCAGAGCGGGACTGGAAGTAGGAGTAGCCAACTCCCAACCATCGGTAGACGTGAGGTTGAGGGTCAAAAGGCCTCTTGCGCATAGTTTAGGAGAAAACTGTGATAAGAACATGTTACTAGGATTGTGTGTCTCGAATATGCTTACGCTAAGTGTAATGATGGCGATTACACTTTATTTTCATAAATAAAGCTAGGTGACCTCTAAAAAATGAAACATATAGTATTTTTTTAGGAAACCAGGTTTTATTTCACATATTATGGGTGTAAAGTATTACACTACATTCCTTACAAAGACACCCTTGAGAAAAACAAATTAAATATAGGTCCTTACAAGGTCTTTTCGGTCATCTTCGTCTCAAGCAATCAGAGGAGCCACTCGACTAGCCATGCCAGCACCATGTAGTGGCATAGGAACTCACCGAGCTTGTAACTCGAAGCTAATACCCCTCGCGACAAAGAATCTTAGTACAATTCATACAACACAACAAACGGCATACCAAACTCATCGATATGCACTTAAAACATTGAATGAACAGGGCATGCTTCGCCAATAGACATGGAATCTGACGCCACAAGCGCGCGTCCCCCAGCCGACGATGAAACAACCCAAAAGGGGATATAATCACCAAAGCAGCTAAAACTAACAAGACCATCGACCCAATTCCTCAAAGGCTAGGTATTGCAAAGAAGTTGTTGTCGGAACTCGGAGGGAGTAGAAAACGGCAGACATATGTATAGATGTCATGGGACTAGTACTAAAAGCTGCAAAATACCTACTATATACATTGGCCATCACCAGATTCAGATTCTCCAACCCAGCAGATAGCTAGAGAGACGGAGAACCCGAGGATCGACGCCGGGATGAAGCTCTCCTTCTGATCGCCTTTGTTTCTACTTAAGAGAAGACAGAAGAAGGGGAGGAAGGAACGCTCTGGAAGCGGCTTGTTAAACGAAACATATAGCAGTAAAAAAAACAAAAATTCAAAAAAAAATCAACAGGAGTAGTAGACCGTGAGCCTTTCAGCACAGGCCCAAATCCGTCACGCTTTGGGCCTTGCGGATTTGTTGCGCTCCTGCACCGAAGCCACCTGCGTCATCACCTTTTTTACGCAACGCAATCATCCGTCGCCCTTTTCGCTACGCTTCCCCCGCATCCTCCCAGGCCTGGCACACCGCCTCGCAGGTTTGGTACCCGTAGCCAATCCACGCAACCATTTCTTTACCCATTTCGCCACGCTTGCTACACAGGCCGGCAGCTCTCGGCTAGGGGGGCGAGGCAGCCCAGGAGGAGAAACAGAGAGAGAGAGAGGAGCTTCTGCTAAAAAGTGTCGGCCTCGGCCTCGAAAGCGACCCAAATCTCGCAGCAACGAATTTGCATTTTCCCCACCTCCACCCCCTTTCCCTTCCGTCCAGCCCCCTCTCGTCGGCGCGATCCAAATCTGGTCCGGCGATGGACGGCGGGGGGCAGCCCCCGGACACGGAGATGACGGACGCCGGCGCGGGCGGCGGGGGGCAGCCGCCGGCGCCGGCGCAGCAGCAGCCAGCGGCCGGGGCCGGGATGATGGAGAACATCCAGGCGACGCTCAGCCACGGCGGCCGCTTCATCCAGTACAACATCTTCGGCAACGTGTTCGAGGTCACCGCCAAGTACAAGCCCCCCATCCTCCCCATCGGCAAGGGCGCCTACGGCATCGTCTGGTCCGCCCCCTCCCGCTCCCCTCACCTCCGATTCGCATCGGCTGATGCGCGACTGACTGGCCTTTCTGATTTGTGATTTCATGGTCTGCTGCCAGCTCGGCGCTCAACTCCGAGACGGCGGAGCAGGTGGCCATCAAGAAGATCGCCAACGCCTTCGACAACAAAATCGATGCCAAGCGCACGCTCCGCGAGATCAAGCTGCTCCGCCACATGGACCACGAGAATGTCAGTCGCTCGAGCCACCCCCGATCCATCCACCTCTCCTGCTCAACGATCCCAGAGTTTCCTTTTCTTTTTTTTTTCCCTGTTCTCTAGCGAGGAGCATATCGGAGATTCTCGTTAAATGCTCGCCTGTTGGTCGCATTAAATTTCGGGAGGTTGGGGTTAGTTGCTTAAATGATTGAGTTCGTTCGCTACAGCTCGCCTAGCCTAAGGGAACTTTCCCTCCCTCGTCTTGGCTGGGAGGTGAAGTTCAGGAATAGCAATCGTAGCCATGCCTTTAAGGGAGCCAACCACCTTTTGAGATGCTATTCATTGTGTTCTTGAAGAACTTGGGGGCAGAAATGACGAGACAACCTGGAGCAGCAGCGCATGTTCCTCCTGCCTGCTGATGTCAAAAGTGAGCGAGTCACTTGAGGACCAACCTAGTGCTGGACTTTTTGCTAGATCATCCCAATCCGATGGGAATGTAGTGGAGTGAATACTCGGTGGGTAGGGGACTAGGATCTTATGTTAGTAGTATTGGAAGGACTGTTGTATTGTATATATGCTGACCTTGAACCTTTAATGTGAAAGACTAAGTCACAGGATTCCCAATTTTATTGGATTTGACCAGTATTTGTATATGGTTGAAGAATCATTTTAGCTTGTCAGAAGGGACGGCAGTGTCGGCAAGCGAAAGACGGTTACGAGATTGACCTGCCGTTACAGCTTGGAACCTGTTGCACGTTCGGAAGTGAGCTGAACTAAGTTGGATTATGATTAGTAGATTTGTAACGGCTAGATCAGTATCCTGATAAATTAAGTAACGTGACATGAGTCATATGCACGTATGTTGTGTCTTCCTGTTCCTTTCTGTTGTTTGACGGTTATGCATGTAGAAGCGAATCTTCGGAATTCACATTAGGCAAGGTGCAATTAGTAGTTAATTAATGTACTTGATTGTGACCGTGTGCATTCTTGGTCAGCTACTTATACCTCGACTTTCCTTAATGGTAGCTAAAGTCATACTATTTGTGCTCTTCCACATACCAGTTCGCCGAAAAAGCATTATGTGGCATGTGGAGAAATATGCAACCTAGCATGCATATTTTCTGCAAAAGGAAAAAAAAACTATATACACTTGTGAATCTATAAGCGTGCTAAAACTACATAGAAAAGGGAAAACTGCATGTTTTCCTCTACTTTCTATAGTAACGAGTAACGTACAGCACAAGTAAAAAATTAAGGATAGAAGGCTCTGGTTTTTGCTTTATACAAGCTTTTACCATGTTGCAGAAGTGCCCACTTCATTAGCTGTATGCCTTTGCCAATACTACAGGGTGGCTTAAATAAAGTGTGTGCCTTTAAGCTTGCCCTGAGCTGTTGACTTAAATTCAAGTAACTTGAGCTTGAGGTGAGATACCTTTGAGACATGGAATGAAGTTCAGTGTCTCTTTGAACATTTTTGTGCTACAGTTGCATTCTGCACTGTAAAAGTAAAAACATTCCAATCACTGCATTGTTGCTACCATAGTTAAAATTTGTTGGAACAGTTTTAAGTATGGCTTCTAGCTACAAGGATATTATTTCTGACACAAATTCATTTTTCGTTGCAGATTGTTGCAATAAGGGATATCATACCTCCTCCACAAAGGGAGGCATTCAATGATGTGTATATTGCGTATGAATTGATGGATACTGATCTGCATCAAATTATTCGTTCAAATCAAGCTTTGTCAGAGGAGCACTGTCAGGTACTTGTTTCGTTCAATCTAAGAAATGCACTATTACTATCAGATATTTCTTTAGCTGTTGTGTGGGAGTAGCTCGAAATCTGTTATGTTCTTCTGTTTCTGTGAATTCCTTGTTTATCTAGGATTGTTCAAATTTAATTTATCCTGAGATGTCAGGATATTTGAATATTGACCTAGAACGTAAAGTATCAATCACTGTGGATACATATTTGGGGGTTCTCACGTATTATTGAGAATTTTATTTGTACAAATCAGATCCAATGTTTTGGATGGAGTCTCCTATTGCTCAGTGGCCAGTGCTTTCAATGTACCACAAGTAGGCAGCCTTATTAAAACCCATATATGCTTATATGCAGTATATCAAGGCTCATTTGATATATGACCTCATGAGAATTTTTTGTAGCCCATTAGAAAATGGCACAATATGCAGCACAATTATACAATTAACCTAGCTGTTAAACAAATGTGTCAAAGCTAATAATTGTTGGAAGATGGCATAGCCATCTCTTTCTCATGCTTGTAAGCTAGTAAGCTACAGATGCATTGGTGTTGCTAAGATGATATGAAATTATGAATCCTTGAACGCAAGTGTATTTCTGATACCTCGTACTATGATTTTGTATCTTGCTTGTTGTGACTCTTGTTTCATACTAGCAAACTCTTTCTTATTTGACACTATACATGTGGCTTTCTTGCCAGCCATATCCATGTGACGTTCTTGCATGGAAAGGGTTGGTTCGGGATTGTGCCTGAGAATTCATGCTGTGTCCTTCCTAGCTTTTGTTATCTGTGCTAAATGATACATTTCTGTATTTTGAGTGGGATTGCAGCACGTTAACCTATTTCCTTGCCCTAGTTATCATATCACAACTCCCCATACATGTTTTGTGAAACTGTTTGGTTATATTGATTTTCCTTTGCAGTATTTTCTTTATCAAATTCTTCGTGGTTTGAAGTATATACATTCAGCAAATGTTCTTCACCGTGACTTGAAGCCTAGCAATCTTCTTTTGAATGCAAACTGTGACCTCAAGATATGTGATTTTGGGCTTGCTCGCACCACCTCAGAAACTGATTTTATGACTGAATATGTTGTCACAAGATGGTATAGAGCACCAGAGCTTTTGTTGAACTCCTCTGAATATACTGCTGCCATTGATGTGTGGTCTGTGGGCTGTATATTTATGGAACTGATGGACCGAAAACCCCTGTTTCCTGGAAGAGACCATGTCCACCAGCTACGTCTACTAACGGAGGTGAGTTCTTAGTGATGATATCATATTACCATATTTTTCTTTGGTGTCATTGTTGCTTTGTCATAGTAGTGTGCTAGTGATGAGCTAGTTGTGGATACTGGATACATCAATCCACTCACTCCAAGCCATCCACCCACCCAGCTTCTCGCATATTAAGACTTGCTCATTTATCTATTATTCTTTTTTTTTTTTGCGAAAACATTTATCTATTATTAATGTGCAAATACAGTAATAGTTGGGTTGTTGAAAGGCTGGTATTGGTCATATAGGAAAAAAGTGACATGCAGAAATCATCCCATTAATGATGATCCAAGTAGGAGTTCCGCTGTTGTACCATATCTATATGCTTATATCATAATGATCTCAAGTTTTGTGTTTTAAAAAAAGGGTGAAACAGAGTTGGGCAATATTTTAGCATGGGCAATGATTCTGCTGCATCTATTCATTTTCTAGTTGTTACTTCGCTGGTTCCAAATTATACACTATAAATATGTGTTGTGATGGTTTTGTGTTGTCTTAAAGAATAAACATCATATGAGTTAGTCTCACGATTGACCATGTGTTAAAACATAGGAGAATGTAAAGAATATGAATAAACATAATAGAACCCCTTAGATACTTTCTGTTTTTTGTATACCAGCTGTCAAGTAAATCTAGTCATTTATGCTGATTCAGATCCACAAGCAATTCTTTATAGCACAGTAGAGGATTTAATAGCTTTTATATTGCACACATTGTTTCGCGTTTGATTTCTCACCCTATTTCTTTCATGCAGCTCATTGGGACACCGAATGAGCCTGATCTTGATTTTGTAAATGAAAATGCAAGAAGATATATCCGCCAACTTCCCCGGCATGCTAGACAGTCCTTACCTGAAAAATTTCCACATGTTCAACCTTTAGCAATTGACCTGGTGGAAAAGATGCTGACTTTTGATCCTAGACAGAGAATAACTGGTAATGCTTTTGAAGCCTTGTCCATCTTTTGTTTCTATAGATTTTTGAAGTTCTCTTTATTTCAAAATGTTGTTTTTGCCATAAATAGTCATGATTCCACTTTGAAAATAGCAAGTGAACTTATAGCACCATGGCTTGGTTTAGAAATGGTAGTGCAACAATTATAGGCAGCATGCGACAATTGCGTTTGAATGTGTGCACATCCACTCCTAGTCACGACTGCTGCATGGTCTGACCTCTGAAGAGGGAATCATTTTTGTCAGATGGTGTTTCAACAATCAGTTTTGGACAGGAGTGAATCAGAAACTGAAGTTATGGCGGGAGACTTTAGAGTCCAAAGGTTTTAGACTCAGTAGAACTAAAACTAAAACGAGTATATGAGATGTGACTTCGGCACTACTACTCGGGAGGAGGAAGATATTAGTTTGGAAGGTCAAGTAGTGCCTAGGAAGGATACATTTCGATATTTAGGATCAATGCTACAGAGAGACGGGGATATTGATGAAGATGTTAGCCATAGAGTCAAAGCAGGGTGGATGAAGTGGCGCCAAGCATCTGGTGTCCTATGTGACAAAAGGGTACCACAGAAGCTAAAAGGCAAGTTTTATAGGACGGCAATTAGACCTGCTATGTTGTATGGTGCAGAATGTTGGCCTACGAAAAGACGACATGTTCAACAGATAAGTATCGCGGAAATGCGTATATTGCGTTGGATTTGCGGTCATACAAGAAGGGATCGAGTTCGGAACGATGATATACGTGATAGATTAGGGGTAGCACCAATTGAAGAAAAGATTGTCCAACACCGGTTTAGATGGTTTGGACATGTCTAACGAGACCTCCAGAGGCACCGGTGCGTAGTGGAATCCTAAGCCAGGATAGTAACGTGAAGAGAGGCAGAGGAGGACCGAAGTTGACTTAGGTAGAGGCAATAAAAGGAGACTTGAAAGGATGGAATATACCCAAAGACTTAGCCTTAGATAGGAGTGCTTGGAAAACAGCTATTCACGTGCCTGAACCTTGATTGTTTATGCTGGGTTTCAACTCTAGCCTACCCAACTTGTTTGGGACTTAAAAGCTTTGTTGTTGTTGTTGTTGTGTTTCAACTGTTGAAAACACGTCTTTTATTAACACACTATTCTTCCTAATTTGCTGATTTTTGTCACCAAGTTTGAAGTTGCTGAATGCTCTGTTTTCTTTTCTCCTTTTCTTTTACCAGTTGAAGGAGCACTTGCACACCCTTACTTGGCATCACTTCATGACATAAGTGATGAGCCAGTCTGCTTAATGCCCTTCAGCTTTGACTTCGAGCAGCATGCATTGTCTGAAGAACAAATGAAGGATCTGATCTACCAAGAGGCTCTTGCATTCAACCCTGATTACCAGTAGCCAAGTTCAATTTCAGCCGGTGATTGGCTTCATTGACATGGAAAATTTTTTCCCCATCTGATGTCACTGCAAAAAGTCACCAACTCCGATTGCTAGCTGTAAATAATTGCCTTACCAGAATATCCTCCATTCCTCCTTGATTAAAAAAGCTGGAGATGGTGTCATTCAAGGGTAGAAAAGAGCGAGCTTGTGAAGGTCAAATTTCTGCGTAGCTATGGATTCTTGTGCTTACAATATGTTGTTTTTAATCAGACTTTACTTTTCTTCTTAAAAACTTTTCGATGTTGTCTGTAAGAGAGGTAGTTCATGAACGATGGCTGCCTGAATTCAGTGGCTGTCGTCAAAGTTAACATTTCTGGCCGACTTAAGAATTCTTGTTTATCTAATTGTTTAAAAAGACCTGTAATTCCAATGTTGCCACCGAGACAGCGAGAGCGATGGCTGAGTGTGACCCTATGATGGCGATTGGCGACTGAACCTGAGATCCTGGAATAAGGTTTCAGCCTGGGACCCTGGGTTCACGGGCTACCTAGCCTGCGATTTGTCCAAGGGTTTGTTGCTCCGAAACTAGCCTGAATCGCATTGAAATCGCCACCGGATTCGGTACGAACCATCGGTTGCCTACATGACAATTTAAGTTGTCATTACCAACTTCGAATGCATCATTGTTTGTCGTTCCATGAGGATAACATGCCATTTGACAATTGATATCAAATAAGGTAAAACTAACTGAAGCGGCTTGTCCCAATTATATCATTGCTCAGTGAATGCTGACGATCAGAATTTGGTTATGGGTTTATTCTGCTAGCCACAGAAATTTTAAGCAGATGGGTTGCTAAATGCTACTGCTATAGATTGGCAGGAAGACATGGCCGTGACTCCTGCTGCTTGATGCTGTCAGCAACGTGCGCGATAACACCAGCACCAGCATTGTGAAGCCACTCGTTCTTGACCTGCATAGATGCCATGAATTTGGATGGTTGTTCTTTAGAACAAAAGAATTTGGATGAACTGGAGAAAATATCACCCCAGAAGAACAAAGCATACATGTATGTTGTTGTGAGCAGAGTAAGGCCAGAATGATGAATGGAAGTTGACGTCCACCTTCTTCCAACCAACCTTCTGCAAGCCATGGATCATCTCCTCTGTTCAAGAATCAGTGTCCGCATTTTTCAAGAAATGAGCAAATCCGGTGTACAAACATGGAGTGCAAAATTGCTACTTACCCTCCATCATTTGGTGGTACTCCTTGGTATTTTCTCTGTTTGGCGTTCTCTGTGCAGCTTCTTTAGCTCTGGCAGCCTTGGAAGGGAAATGGGGGCCCTCTGATGATACAGGCGAACAGTATTCAACATTCACAATGTGCTTATAGCCATCCAGTGAACGATGTGAGGGCTGCAGATAGAGGAAATGCAAGGTCTATTCAAATGCCATTCCATTTAGTGTGACAAGTAAGCTGTCAATGGAATCAATTATGGAGATATTGCTACCTTTACAAGATCCTTTTCTCTCCTTAATGAAGATGTTCGCCAGCCGACCATGTCTGGGATAAGATCAAGAAAACAAACAACAAGAATAGAAGCAGAAATAGCTTGGGGGCGATAACCATTATTGGATAGCATGCTGCAGATCAAGTTCAAGAAATGATTTGGCAAGGAAGGATACGGTCATATGAAACGTTAGCATACAGGACACGGTTCTTAAAAGCTGCTAAAGCTAACCTGTTAAACAATGAAAAGGAACATTATGTTTCAATAAGAGCAACTTAGCCTATAAATGGTTCTGTTCTTCACTCACATGTACTTTTTGTCATCACAATCAGATGCCATTTGTAACAGGAGAGGTGGCTTGCTAGGATCACCATCAGTGAGAAACAGTTGAGGACCAGTGCGCCCAACAATTAAAGGAGCCAAAGGTGCAGCAAGTTTTTCTAGAATTGATAGACCTTGAAGAAACGGAAGCTGGTAATTAGGGGGGAAAACATATAAGCATGTATCAAAGGAATTGCTCAACACTAACATTAAGGCCCGTTCGCTTCGCTGAAAAAACAAGTCGAAACACTGTTCCAGCTGATTCGTTGTGAAAGAAAAACACTGTTCCAACTAAAAAAACAAGCTGAAAAAGACAGATTATAAGATAAGCGAACAGGGCCTAGGCAGTGGCGCGGCATACTTACATGAAGGTCTTATATGAACAAATAGAGTTTGTTTTCCCAGGAATCGAGCCTTTGCTGGATAATGAGCAGTATATTTTGCAAAAATAATCCCAAACATTTTGGTGACGCACCTGATTTCTCCCTCTAACCCCAAGGTGTGGGGTTGCTAAGGTAATAAAATTAATTGGCTGTAATCCAGCAATTGAACCTAATCCTGAAGTGCATCTTGATTTTGCTGGCCCTCTTGTTGTAGGCAGTGGCGCGGCATACCCTGTTTGACCGGCAAGTGTGCAATATAATATAGGTATTATACACATCTGTATTTATAAAAAAATAAAAAATATTCACTGATCACGCCATCACGGAAGCGCCAAGTTAGAAGCCCCAGGAAGCGGCCCACGCGGCAAGTACGTACACGTCCACAGGATACATGCATTTCACTTTTGGCTTTTGGTATTCTAATCTGGATCCGTTCATCGGGGCTGAGTCACGAACTCACGGCGCCGCCACCCTGACAGTTGACGCCGACGCCGACGCGGTGAGGCGTGATGGACGGTGACGCCCTGGTCCTGGTGGCCGGTGCCCTCTGGCCTCTGCCTTGCTGCCCTCCGTTCATCGATCACGCATCTACAGTTTGCAGTTTACACGGCCGTGCAGTCACGGAGGCTCGCCGATTCGCTATTTCTCTTAGGTAAAATTTAATCTTCTGCTCTTCGTCTTTTTTAGAAAATTATAGTCTAATTTCATAGCTATTTGCTAACATCACAAATAATAAATTGTTTAATATTTATGCAGTTATGAAGAGAAACTCGGATATTGCATCTTTTTTCAGAAGCATCAAGCAAAAATACGGCGGCAGCTGCTGCTGCTTCTAATCATTCCCCCGATCCGGTTGAACCTGTGGTGGAAGAGTAGACTCATGAGAGAATTGAGAAAATCACAAATCAAATGCCACTGCCACCGCCACAACCGTCTTTACTGCCACCAGTTTATGACATCAATCGCCTTCCACATGATCTAGATAAAAGACATCCCATTCTAAAATATCCTGTTAATGATCAAGATACAATTCGAAGGGCATATAATATTAAAGGGCCATTCAAACCTTTTGCACATGATTTTCCAAAAAGAAAGATTTCAGGCAAGGATTGATGATTCAATTATTGTTGGATGTACAATCATGATTGGCTTGAGTATAGTATTAAGAAGGATGTTGTGTTTTGTTTTATATGCTATTTGTTTAAGAAGGTAAAAGCTCTAGTTTGGTTTTGGTGAATTGATGAAACCCTAAGTGCTAACCTAGTTTATCAAAGTGATCATGAGATAGGTAGCACATTCCAAGTGGTGAAGCAAATGAAGATCATGACATGATAATGGTGATGCCATGGTGATGATCAAGTGCTTGGACTTGAAAAGAAGAAAGAGAAAAACAAAAGGCTCAAGGTAAAGGTATAAGTGGTAGGAGCTATTTCGTTTCGGTGATCAAGACACTTAGCGAGTGTGATCACATTTAGGTTCGATAGCTGTACTATTAAGAGGGGTAAAACTCGTATCGAAATACGGTTATCAAAGTGCCACTAGATACTCTAACTCATTGCATATGCATTTAGGATCTAGTGGAGTGCTAACACCCTTAAAAATATTTATGAAAATATGCTAACACACATGCATAAAGGTGATACACATTGTGTTCAGCACTTGGGAGCAAGGGTTCGAAACTCCACCGGCGCCCTGTACAGAAAAGACGGGGTTTCACAGAGTGCACCGGACGCTGGTCACACAGTGATCAGACACTGACCCTGTGTCCGGTCAGTAGCAGCTGTGAGCACGCGGTCTCGGTGAAAGGTCCTAATATGGCTAGAGGGGGGATGAATAGCCTATTTAAAAATTTACAAACCAACTAGAGCAATTTAATTAGTATGACAAATAGCGAAAAACAAACTTGCTCTAACTCTACATGGGTTGCAAGCTACCTATCCAATAATTCTCGTTACTATGATCACTAGACACACAATTTACTAAGTCAATATTCACTAAGAGCTCTTACAATTGTTACACTAAAGAGCTCCACTAGATGGACTTAAGCTATAAAGCAAGCTCTCAATTCTAGCTACACTAAAGAGCTTGCTATAACTAGTTTGTGGGAATGTAAATAAGTAAGTAAGGTGATTATACTGCTGTGTAGAGGAGTGAACCAATCACAAGATGAATACTTATTCAATCACCAGGAGAATACCAGAGGGCAAGAGACAACCAATTTTCTCCCGAGGTTCACGTGCTTGCCAACACGTTACGTCCCCGTTGTGTCGACCAACACTTGGTGGTTCGGCAGCTAAGAAGTGTTGCACAAACCTCGTCCACACAATTAGACACCGCAAGAACCTACCCACAAGTGAGGTAACTCAATGACACGAGCAATCCACTGAGGTTACCTTTCGACGCTCCGTCGGGGAAGGCACAAGTCCCCTCACAATCACCGGAGATGGCCATGAACAATCACCAACTCGTGCCAATCCTCCTCCACTACTCCAATCCGTCTAGGTGGCGGCAACCACCAAGAGAAACAAGTAAATCCCGCAGCGAAATACGAATACCAAGTGCCTCTAGATGCAATCACTCAAGCAATGCACTTGGATTCTCTCTCAATCTCATAAAGATGATGAATCAATGATGGAGATGAGTGGGAGGACTTTGGCTAAGCTCACAAAGTTGCTATGTCAATGCAAATGGCCAAGAGAGTGAGCTTGAGCCAGCCATGGGGCTTAAATAGAAGCCCCTACAAAATAGAGCTGTTAGATCCTCAGTCTACTGAAAATCGGGGCGACCGGACGCGCCGGTCATATCGACCGGACGCTGGACCCTAGCGTCTGGTCGTGCGATGCAAGCCACATGACACCTGCTTCAAACGCTGATCGCCCGATCTCAACGGTCATAAGTACATTTAAGTTGAGACCGGACGCGCTGCTTTGAAGTGACCGGACGCAGGACCTCAGCGTCCGGTCGTTTCCAGTAAGGTTCCATTCGCGACCGGACGTGTTCGGTTGATAACGACCGGACGTAGGACCCTAGCATCCAGTCACTTTCAGTAAGCATCCAGAGACAATTTTTCATGATCGAACGCGTCCGGTTACCCCTGACCGGACTCACCCAGCGTCTGGTCAGTCACCCTCTTCTCTGTGCGCTGCCACATCAATAGGACCGGACACACCTGAAAGGTCCTAATATGGCTAAAAGGGGGGGTGAATAGCCTATTTAAAATTCTACAAATCAACTAAAGCAATTTAATTAGTAAGACAAATAGTGAAATGCAAACTTGCTCTAGCTCTACGAGGGTTGCAAGCCACCTATCCAATAATTCTAGTTGCAATGATTACTAGACACAGAACTTGCTATGATACTACTCACTAAGAGCTCTCAATCTTACTACACTAAAGAGCTCCACTAGATGAACTTAAATAACAAATCAAGCTCTCAATTCTAATTACACTAAAGAGCCTGCCACAACTAGTTTGCAAGAATATAAAAGAGTGAGTAGGGTGATTATACCACCGTGTAGAGGAGTGAACCAATCACAAGGTGAATATTAAATCAATCACTGGGAGAATACCAAATGGAAAGAGACAACCGATTTTCTCCCGAGTTTCACGTGCTTGCCAACATGCTACGTCCCCGTTGTGTCGACCAACACTTGGTGGTTTGGCGGCCAAGAGGTGTTGCACAAACCTCGTCCACACGATTGGACACCGTAAGAACCTACCCGCAAGTGAGGTAACTCAATGACACGAGCAATCCACTAGAGTTACCTTTCAACGCTCCGCCGGGGAAGGTACAAATCCCCTCACAATCACCGGAGATAGCCACGAACAATCATCAACTCGTGCCAATCCTCCACCGCTGCACCAAGTCGTCTAGGTGGTGGCAACCACCAATAGCAACAATAGAATCCCGCAGCGAAACACGAATACCAAGTGCCTCTAGATGCCATCACTCAAGCAATACACTTGGATTCTCTCCCAATCTCACAAAGATGATGAATCAATGATGGAGATGAGTGGGAGGACTTTGGCTAAGCTCACAAGGTTGCTATGTCAATGCAAATGGCCAAGAGAGTGAGCTTGAGCCAGCCATGGGGCTTAAATAGAAGCCCCCACGAAATAGAGCCATTGTACCACTTCACTGGGCACAACACGGGGTGACCAGATGCTCCGGTTAGATCGACCGGACGTAGGACCCCAGCGTCCGGTCGCTCGATGCTTGCCACGTGTCATCGACTTCAAACGCTGATCGCCCGATCTCAACGGTCAAGTGATGATCGGACGCGTCAGTTAGAAAGTGACCGGACACTGGATCTCAGCGTTCGGTCGTTTCCAGTAAGGTTCCAAATGCGACATTTCATGTCCGACCGGACTCACCCAACGTCCGATCACTCAACGTCTCCTCTGTGTACCCCACGTCAGCGTTCGTCAGCATTGACCGGACGCACCCTGCCAGCGTCCGGTCACTTTTAGCACCAACGTCCGGTCGAAGACCGAAACACGTGCCCTCTGCTGCCACTGACCGGACGCGCCGATCCAACCGAGACCAGTGTCCGATCACTTTCAGCGACCTTCGTCTTTTCTGTAAAGAGCGCCGGTGAAGTTTTTAACCCTTGCTCAAATGTGCCAACCACCAAGTGTATCACCTTATGCACATGTGTTAGCTTATTTTCACAAACATTTTCAAGGGTGTTAGCACTCCACTAGATCCTAAATGCATATGCAATGAGTTAGAGCATCTAGTGGCACTTTGATAACCGCATTTCAATACGAATTTCACCCCTCTTAATAGTACGGCTATCGATCCTAAATGTGATCACACTCGCTAAGTGTCTCGATCACTAAAACAAAATGTTTCCTACAATTTTTACCTTTGCCTTGAGCCTTTTGTTTTTCTCTTTCTTCTTTTCCAAGTTTAAGCATTTGATCATCACCATGCCATCACCATCGTCATGATCTTCGTCATTGCTTCATCACTTGGAGTAGTGCTACCTATCTCATAATTATTTTGATAAACTAGGTTAGCACTTAGGGTTTCATCAATTAATCAAAACCAAACTAGAGCTTTCAATCTCCCCCTTTTTGGTAATTGATGACAACCCTTTCACAAAGATATGAATTGTAATTTAATTGAATTTATGTTGCTTGCCCAAGCATATTTACCATGTGTAAAAGAATATGGACAAGTTTCATAAACTCCAAATGGTAGCAATTGCTCTCCCTACATATGTGCTAAGAGTTTGGATTATAGCTTGCACATATGCTTAGATAGGAAATATAGGAGACAATTTCTACCATATGATGCTAAGGTATAAGAGATGGACCTTTGAAGCGTGATACCAAACGGAGTGCACCAATATACCATCCTTAGCACCATTAGTAACTAGATATACACAAAAACTAGAATACCCCGTGAGATCAACATTAGAAGCAAGGGTCTAGTTTTCATAATATGAGCATGAGTCTAGTTACTTAGCCTATGCATGCTAGTTTTTCATTTCATCATTCAAACCTATAACTAGCATACACCACACAAGCATGGATATTGAAATTTAAGACTTGTGCTATGCAAGCAAATATA